TGTGGTGTGGTACAGTGGTGTGTTCGCGCAGGCCTCTCTTCTCCTCGGATGATGAATGATCCCCGCGTACCCTCCGTTCCCTTCCTCCACGCGACTCGCACCCTGTCGCGGTCCTACCGGCTCTCCGCGTCCAGCAACGTGCTCGTCCGCTCTCCGCCGCGCCATTCCACCATGATACCCTCCCCTCTCACATCCCCCGTCATCGAGCAGCCTCGCTCTGGTAGGTTTCGCTCGCTTCCTCTCCCCCTGCCAGAGCACGCTCGTTTTATTTCTCGTTTATTTTTCCCACCCGCGAACCGTCGAGATGCAATTTGCATCCGAGCTGCTGCTGTTGCCGCCGCCGTCCCAGCCGGTTGCCGCGAGCAACAACTGGCGTAGAAGCGAGCGACTCACCACCAGGGGAAAATTATTTGTCGGGAGAAAGAATATTTTGTAAATTCGACCGAGACTGTAAACGTCAATACGAATCGTTCTATTATCTTCTCGCTACGAAGCGCAAGAAAAATAAAATCGATGGAATTCGCTGTAGGTACATCTTGCTAATAAGCTATCGCTGTTATATCGCGAAATACAAAGTAAATTCGCTATTTTAACTCCCTTCGGAGTTGACGCCAAAATTTATAATAAGATTATTAATTCTGCAAGCACAATTTAATTCACGTTAATTAAAAGGCACTAATTAATTTCAACGAAATGATATATCACTTAAAAAGGAATGCTAAATACATTTTAATAAAAATAATCCAATTTTGCACATATAATGTGAAGAAAATTGAATTGTTTGAAATTTTTATGAAAAATTTATAATTGAATGGGTCCGACAGACTTTCCGTCAGCTTCGCAGGATTAAATCAATATCTCATTACCATCTCTCATTGATAATTCCCCAACGTAATTTATTCCGACAGTATTAATGTAATTTATTACGATATTTAAAAAAAAAAAACATGTGGTGATGTTATTTGACTTTTGGAGAATGATCGTGCGTTATGTTTACATTCGATGTTCACGCATGATGAAACCCATTCACGACAGTAATCTACGAAAGGATCTCCCTGAATCCATATTGTAACTGTAATATACCGATTAACAGTTTCAAGTAAATCCACACGACTTTCGAACGCATAGTTAAGAGGATACAGTAGTCGGTTAAATGGCAGACTTCGTCACGGGTGACAACTGTGAAAAACGACGGTGACATGTCTTAGCAACCGCTTCAAAAAGCTATGGAAAGTGTTGCAGGGCGGCAGGGAAGAGACAAAGGGGATCGGAGGAGGGCTGTTTCGGAGAACTGGCTTATTCCTGCGGTTCACAGGAGAGACGACTTGATGACTGCGCGTGAGTTAGGCTCTCTATCCGGCTACCTGAAAACGACCCGAGTGATAAAGGAAGAAAGAAAGACTGAGGGCAAATGCCTGCTTCATATTTTATGCTTTTAGGGATCCTTTATGTGCTCAACTACCCAGAGAGGCACCCAGCGTGTCGAATAGAATTCGGAAGGCTGGGTATACGCGATAGGTATTTTGACATACCCGAGAAATTAGTATAATAAAGGGGGCTAAAAGTAAAGCGCCTAAGTGCCTAAACACACGCCATAAATTTCCCCTTCCTTCTTCGTTTCTGCGAATGTCTCGCCGGTCCTGTTGCCGATCCGCGAACGTATCCGCCGACCAAGTCGCCATCGAAATTGTCTCTTCGAGGACCACTTTGTGGCGTTTGATCGATCGAGATGCACCTCAGACGCAGACGCCTCCAACGGTCCCCGTCGCGTCTTCGATGGTTTTATTACCGCTCGCCGTAACGTCTCTCTAACTTTTCATCTCTCTACCATCACCCCGTCTCATTGCGCTCTTGACGATAATGGTCGCGGAACTCAACCGTGTTTTACCGTTCCCGGCGAATATTCGCGGTACGTGCTTTGAGTAAAAATTTACGTAAAACACTGGGGCGAAGACATCAACTTCTGACGTAGCGAAATGTCGATGGTGTTGTTAGTGACATGTTCGTCAACTTTTAGTAGCTACAAATGTCAGTATGATGTTATTACGGTAAGTATAGAGATTTTCTATTAAAATTTAAAAAATTATATTTTCTCTGCAGATACTTTTTAAGGAAATAACCTATACTTTTATATATAGCATGCTTTCTACATTCGATATGTACCGTTCTTTGTTATTATTGAATACTAAAAATAGGACGATATTTATGTTCACGTACATCACTAAATGAAAAGTTACCTATAATTTTCTTTTGTAAGATTGACTACTTTCCTTTCAAGAGACACAATCGATATAAATATCGTTTTATCCTTTTCGGTATTCAATAATACAGGTAGAATGAAAGAGAGAGAAAGAGAGAGAGAGACTATTGTGTCAATTTCTAAAAGAAAAAATACCGTTGCACAATTTACAGTAACTTAGGTTAGTATGTCTAATCTTTTTCGAAGAATGTTCTGACCTGGTATACACTGATGCAGTAAGTTTCAAAATGAAACAAATAATTTGTTACGTCAGTGTATACTTCAGAACATTCTTCGGAAGAAACAGCTCTAATATATTGTTGAATTAACAGCGAAATTATCAATACGATCGAAATAATTCATTTCGAACTTTTTATGAAACTTATAAGTATACTTTATGAGATTTTTTATGATTTTCTCGTTTTGGTTGCAATATAAGTGATTAAACAATTTACATTTTTCCTTTTTTTAAAGATATATTAGTATAGTATAGTACATTTATAAAAACAGTAGAAATAGACATGTATTAGTCGTTGGTAGTCTAATGTAAAGGATAGCTAAATGGATAGCACATGAATAAATAGGTATATTTTGTGTAAAGGAGCAAAGTCTTGTAACACTTCAGAAAACGGAAATCGCGATGAAGGCATTATCAATCATGTCACAAATGATGGAAAGGTCGGCGCATACCTGGCGTAACAATGGAATACGCGAGTTAGCATCAAATGGAAAAACTATATAGACACGCGTATTACACGGCGGTCTAAGTAACTCTCTCCAAAGATACGATCTTTTTCGCCGTAAATTACAACATACAGCGTAAACGGATTGTACACTGTCGACGGTTATACCACACGGCAGGTCCTCATGATTATTCCCGGCGCAAACAACCCTCCTCGTTTTCCAGAAGCGCTTGCGAAAGCTTTTAGTATTACGTGTTGGCGTATCCCATCGCATCCCTGGTTTTCGGCTTAAATAAATTCTCTTCATGCTATCGCTGCCTTTCTCCGGGAAAATCAACGCGAGAACACCTCCGTCAGAGGCGTACAATCGCATGTATCGCTTGAACTGTGGTTATGGAAAGTCTTAATTTTCCCCTCAAACATTTATATATCCGCTTTCTTATCACATGTGAATCACTAGATCTAATCTTTGCGGATGAACGAGTATGCACAATTTGTACACTAAAATTTTACTCATGTATTTAAAATAAAATAGATATATCTCGAGTAAAACAAAAGTCATATTATACTTATTAAACTAATATTGAAGTGAACCATTATGACAGATTGAAAAGTGATTTTTAATCATCATTTTGGAATCATTTTGACATTATTTTACTGCTATGATGACTTCCTATTCAGCCACATTATCCGAGTGGTAAACATTTCTAAGAGAGAATGTCCTAAAAATGTTCTCTTTTAAACGTTCTTATACCGTAGGTATGTTCTATTGTAATTGGGATAATCAACACTTGATGAAAAAAGCGAGAAAAAAAGTGTTAATGCAGTTCAGTGTAGCGATAAAGAATAGATGCACATACTCGATGTAATAATATTAAAACACTCGTTAAAATTATACAACAATCCAAAATTACAATGAATCGTCAAGTCAGGTCTTTCCATCTTCGTCTTACTCCGACAGAATAAATCGTCTAACGAATTAGACAGCATCTATAAACTGTGCGCAGTGGTTTAGGTGTCTGCGTTAATCAACAGACAGAAATCATTCTTACTCCAGTAATTCTTGCTCTTCGCAGCCTCGTTCTACGCCACTGCGGCGGAGGTACATACGTAGGTAGATACATACACGAACGCCGGCCATCCGACGCGAGAGGTCGATCGATCTCTCTTTCGTCGTTGCGCGGCCACCGTGTCGCTGCCACGCCACTCCGAGATACCCACGTCGTCGTCGTCGTCGTCGCTGGTGGGGAAGTCGGTGTCGGGTTTGACGGTGGTGGTGGTGATTGTTGTTGCTGGTTTACAGGGTGTGGCGAGTGAGGAGAAGCGCCTCTCCCTCACGCACCGCCTTCGTCGAATCACGTGACCCTGCAGTTGGGTCGACGGTTCGACGAAGGCAAAGAGAAAGAGAAGCCCAAATGGTTAAGCGTTTCCTGCCAACCACTAGGCCCCGCCTATGAAGCCGGTCGATACTGCGCGCGCAAAGCTCTTCTCCTGGTGTCACGCTGCGCGAAACCACCGTGCTTCCACGGCACCATGGTGGGGCAGTCGGTGCGCGTGGGAGGAGGAACGGAAAGTCAGTGGAGTCCGGGAAGTCGAGCAGCGCAGACGCGTTGTGCGTTGTTATCTCGTAAAGTCAAGCGACAGCGACGATCAACTCCCGTCGTGACGACGTAGAGTTTCGTAATCCAGGGTGGATAGTGATTCGCGAGCTACCGGAACGTCCTCGGTAATAACTGGATACCGTTCTCACGATTGCTTCAAGGAGAGAGAGGTGGAGGCGCCTCTCTCGTTGTCGCGCGAGCCATCATGATACGAAGGAACGCCTGGTGACACACAAAGAGGACAAACATAAGAGGAAAGGATAACGAGAGGACTTAATATGTCTTATCGTATGTGAGGGTGGTGGTTCTCTCGACTTTCCTTAAAGAAGATAGGAAAGTGGAGGACCTCGCGACGGTGAGATAAACCATTGAGAGAGGACATTGGAGACAGGGAGAAAGGACGGATCGATCGGAGCAAGAAGATCGGAGTAACGAGAGACTGAACGCGAGTAAGTGTCGTCGCGCGCGCGAGGAGGGATGCCTACAAAGGGGGAGAGGGGAAAAGCGACGGACTTCAGCATCGCGGCCATCATGGCGCCCAGGGGTCCGTCCTTCGGGCATTACCACCTGCAGGGCATCGGCAACGCTGCTACCACCGCTAATACCAGCCTAGAATGCCCAGCTGGATTTGTTGCGGAGTCGACGTTGGATCACTGTAAGTCTTTTTTTTTTGTGAAATACGGTGACTAATCATTGACTTCTTAAAAAAGATTCGTCCTCTTTATATATTAGAAGAGACTGTAATACTACATAGGGACTGTGACACCTTTTCGTACATTTTATACCAGAGATATCCTGGCAATATCCTTATAAAACGTTCAGAGGACATAGGGACATTGTTTGGACATCTTTAGGATATCTTTTGGAAGTTTATGATGTGTGGGTTAGAAGTACTAATTTTTTTAACAATATAACAAGATATTTTGATATCGGCTGTTCAGTTATATACTTTTTAACTCAAGTAACTAAACAGGTAACATTAAAAATAATTAGTATATTTCAAGGTCTCATCCCTAGATACCATAGTCTCTTTTACATATCATTTATGAAAATATATATATATATATAATCGTAGAATCTATATAATTTATCTTCTATCCAATTCACAAAGCACAGTATTCTTTTATAAAGAGAGAAAACTCTATCATTTTGCCTTAGTTTGACAGCAAATAGAAAAAATGTGTAAAAAGCAGAAGCAACAATCACATTTTGGAGTGTCTTGGTCAATTATTAGGATTATTTCATTTCTTATCGAACTCGGATAACAATAATTCTACGAAGATCAATTTGTTATTGATGAGATGGAGGCTAATATAATTTCAACCAAATGATAAGATAAGAACATTGACAAACAGGAAATCTTCAATCGTTTATAGACATTGAATCGCTTTCATAGAGACAATACTCATTTCTTATTAATCGACATTACATGAATTTTCGTGAACGAGTGCTTTGATTCAAAATGGAGTCGTTGGTTTCGAAGCAGATCACTTTCTTTGATTCGAGATATTTATACATTTGACATTTCCGAGGTGCGCAGTGCGACAATGGAAAGTGTGAGAAATAAACTATCGCAAACGGAACGCGGACGCGAATGAAGAAGCGAAGTTGATGGAAATGTCAGACGCTGAAGTGATAAACGCGAACGCGGCTTATTCTGCCGGCAGCGATGGTCGTAAACGGTGGAACGCACTTTGCAACATCGTCGTAAAACAATTTAATCGTATCTTCACGATGTCGTAAGACGGACACCGTAATGTAGTCCGTCACGAAGACAGGTCCTAATTCTGTACAGTCGAGAACGAAAATGTGCTCAAGAAAATTCGTTCATCTTCATTTTCATTGGGAGTGCTGTCTTCTTCATACTGATTGTGAGTCAGCATTTTCGTTCACATCTGACTTTAAAGTTTTAATAGCAGTTTTAGAAATAATTAACGATCTTTTGAAAAATTCCACGCGAAAAGCGGTTGAAGATAGCAGAGAAGAATAGCATTAGAAATTCTTTATATTTTGTTAAAACAAAATTTGTTGAGTGTTTTATTTTTATTATATGACATTGAAAAGAAGTTCAAGAACTGTAATTAATTTAAAAAATGAGTTAAATGTTAAATTGTTAAAGAAGTATTAATATTTGTATGAAGTCTAGATTAAAAAATTTTTTTTCTTAATTCTTTTTTTATCTCTCTCTCTCTCTCTCTCTCTCTCTCTCTCTTTGCCTTATTGATCTTATATTTCATCTATTTCTTTAAAAGTTATTACTAATCTTAATCATTTAATTCTGGTAATTGTATGCCCATTTGAAGAAATGACTTCCTATTTTAACATATGTTACCACAGAAAATTTAATTTAACGAATCAAATCATCCCGCAGTTGTTAGCGCCGCAATAAAAGTCTTTTTGGGTTGTAAGAGGTTAAGTTACGGGTTCATCTTGGGGGTAACTGAGTTTACGATTTAACGAGCTTATTTAGAGCTTGTTGGTGTTAAAGTATATGTATGGCGCCTTTCGCTCTGTCCTCCACATTACGACGCGCTTTTCTATCCGACGGCCTGCGATTCGTCCGAGGTGAACGGGTTATTACATTTTCACATCTGTTAACTGCAATATTTAAGCTATTATCCTACTATTAGCGAAACATGCACATATTCAAGTCTATAATTATAGTTATATCTCCGATAATGCATCCACAAACATTTTCACAAATACAACTGGTATATAATTAGATATTATTTATTAGAAATGAGGCAAACGTTATCAGAAGAAATTTTTCTAATAAAATTTTTATCAATAAATTAAATTAAATATCTTTTCTCGAATATATATTAATATTGAACTTTCATATTATAGCTGTGAAGCTTTTTTTAATTTTTTCGTTTTGAGATTTTTAAAATTTTTCAGTAACAATACTAAATAATTATTTTCCGAAAAACATTTGAATTCGAAATAAGAGTTATTATAACTGCGATCGTAAAAGCAGATAAGCAACAGACTAGTTCAGTTTCAGTTTTCTGCTAGTACGGTCTAGGAGAGAGAGAGAAAGAGAGTGTTGATCGCTCTATTCCATTAATTAGAAATACGCGATTTGTCAAGTGAACGTACCGGAAGAAAAAAGCGTCGTTTGGCAAGCTGTGCGATAATTAGCGTCCGAAATAGCAGTCACGTTCATGCAACAGGAACGTCGGGCCACGGTCGCTACCGACGAAATCGTTGCCAACAAATCGTGCGTAAATTTTACCTGTTCGCACCAGAATTAACGAGCGCCCGCTAGACACGTTAAGCAGATGGTGATCTAGCGAGATCGGATTCTCGAGTCGCCTTTGCAGATTTATGGTGCTTTTCGGCGACGAAAGAAACTCGATGCAAATTGGGCACGGAGATTCGTAGCCAGAAAATGTGTTATGCAAGCAGCGCTTTGTTATTTCTTAAATTAAAATCATCTTCTTACAAGATCTTGTTACAAATTTAGTGGAAAATTTTATCTGCATGTAATTTCGTTCAAGAATTAGCAAAATTATATTTTTTCTATATAATATTTTTTTTAGATTTTTTTCTATATAATGCGTTTTTTATGCGACAGACATATGATTAAAGTACAGAATATCAGTAAGATTGACATCGTTAAAATACAATAATAAAATATACTAAAAACATGATGAAATAGAAATATAAAATAACAGAACAAAACGATAAAAGCAATGAGAATCGAGATATGCAAATATCGATAGGTAAATTATATGAAAATATATACAATAGTAATGTTTAATTATTCGCAATCGTTTTGTTGCATTGCTTGAAAATATGAATATGAAGCTCATAGAAATCATAATCTTATATAAATCTCATTTTTTAGAATGACTTAATAGTTCTTTACAGATATAACGGCACGAAAGTAAGTTGAATATAAATTTTCATTTTTAGATGACCAGAGGTATTAAAAAATTCGCAGGCTTGAACTCTGTGATATTGAAAATCGAAGTTTGCACACACAATTTAAATGTTCAAATTCGAAATTGGTCAATCGACAAACTCTCTCTCTCTCTCTCTCTC